TAGAAAAGCCCATGGCCGAATTCATAGACCGGCGTGCCTGTATACCACATGTACGTCTGACCAGGGTTGTTGCCACCTGGGCGCAGAGCCATATCTGTGGCAGGGAACTCTGTCGCATACTTGGCCGGGTATTGAGTGGTTGTCAGGCGACCTGCAGGGGCACGCTTGCCGGTGATGATATCCACGAGGGCCTGGCCACCAGACTGGCCAGGGTAACCACCCCAGATGATAGCATTGACGTTCTTGTTGGACTTGAGAGAGGAAGAATCGACTTGTCCACCTCCCATTTGCAGAACGACTAGAGGCTTGCCAAGCTTGCTCAGCTCCTTTACTAGTTGTAGTTGGTTTCCAGGCCAAGTAATATTCGCTCTGTCCATTCCCTCTGCCTCGATGGTATTATCGATTCCTCCGGCGAATACAATCAAATCCGACTTCTTAGCTGCGGAAATTGCCGCTTCAAACCCATCAGTAGTCTCTGAAGAAATGTTTGTACCAAAGGCGTAGTTAACATCTAGGTCCGAGGCTTCCAGGGCCTTCAGAGGACTAGTCAGGTATGGCGCGGTTGAGAAATAGTTTCCTTGCATCTGTTCAGTAGCATTTGCCCATGGCCCAACCAGTGCAACGCTACTGGTGTTCTTCCCAAGAGGCAAGGTGCCATCGTTTTTGAGAAGAACAATACCTTCGACGGCTGCCTCGTAAGATATGTTTCGAGCATCGGTCGACACGACATCAGACCATTCGAGGTTACGGAATGGACTATCGCCGCCGTCAAAATAGCCGAGGCGGACCAAGTTCGAGTAGAGTCTGATGACTCCACGTTCGATCTCACTGCGGGAGATTCCCCCATCGATAAGAGATTCATTCAGATAGTATTGATAGGAGGTTCCGCAGTCGATATCGGTTCCGGCTCTCATCGAGTCAGCAGCCGCACCGGAGACATTTGCGGCATATTCGTGTGGGTTGAAGACGTTATAGACAGCGTCGCAGTCCGAGGAAACGTAGCCGTCCTCCACGAATCCCCAAGTATCGCGAAGAAGAGTCTGAAGGAAGAAGGAGTTTGCAGAGCTGGGCACACCATTGACGGCGTTATAGGACGACATGACACTGTGAACCTTGGCATCTCGTACTGCAGATAGGAATTGTGGAGTGAAGTACTCCGCCAGGTCCTGTTGGGTGATATTCATGTCATTGCCCAGGCGGGAATGGCCATCCCAGTTCTCAATGTCATAGCCAGCATAGTGCTTTGCAGTAGCTACCAACTTGAGGTGGTCAGGGTCCACACCTCCCTGAATACCAGTAATATACTCATAGGCATAGGCAGAGCATAGGCAGTAGGCATCCTCGCCAGGTGTCTCTTGTCCACGGCCCCAAACGGGATGGCGGAAGGAATTGATGTTTGGCGCATAGACATCCAGTCCGTACCTCCCGACATTATTGAATGCTCGACCTTGTGTAGAAATTATATCTCCAATATGATTGATCATCGTGCGATTGAGACCAGCCATCGTAAGAATCGGCGAAGGGAAGGAAGTTGCCCAGCTGAAGTCACCCGAGTCGGTGAAATTGCCTCGATCGAGCCCATGAAGGGCTTCACTCCATACTTGGTAGGCAGGCAGCCCGAGTCGTGGAATTGCCGGAATATTGTTGCCCGTGCTGTTCACAAGTTCTTCGAATGTAAACAAAGAGATAAGGGCCGCCGCTCGATCGTGGGCACTGGCCGATTTATCACAGACGAGTGTATTGCTGAGCGGACTTTTGTCACAATCGGGGAAGCTCAGGTCAATTGTTCCGATTGTTTGCGCATCAAGGTCGGGCTGGGCCTCGGTGGAGTAGTCCTTGTAGGTAGTGTTGGCCTGGCCGAGAACGGCTGGCACCAAAGCCGCCAGGACGGCGAGCAATCCAGCAGCGGGCATTGCAAAGATTGAAATTTGAGAGGAATACTGGGCCGTAAAGTCCATTTAGAACGCGAAATTGCAATCTCCTTTATACCCCCTCACTTTGCTGCACATCGGCTGCTCCCAAACCCCGTGGGCATCCCCGGGAAAAAACAGCTTCTCCACATTGCCCGACCAAGTAAGTCCCGCAGCCGATCCCGAAGCTTTGCCGGCGAGCTCGCCGGAAGGCTGCCCCTGTATGTGATTTAGCCTGAAGTCTGTTAAAGTTCGATCGATGTGGGGGGATTTCATGATCTGGAATCAGGAGAGGTGGGGACTTGGAATGGATGGGAATGAGGGGATTGGGAACTTGAAGTGAGCTAGATGGCAATAACATCAGTCCTTGCATGAAACGAAAACGAAATTATGCGTAGAATAGAGCGATATACCCGAATGATCTCCGATACATACAAACGGTCGCAACTTCAAGTACCCTCTTGCTAGAATAAAAATATACTAGTACTGATCTAAATCGTTCGTGGCACGAAATATTGAAGGTTTGAGAATGGAATGTATTCTATCCGATTTCAAGCTGCTGCAAGGACGCATCCATTCTCATCTAGCTTGTATTTTTCAAGCACGTAATCAACATCCTTGTCGCCACGACCCGAGAGATTGACTAGGATTCTTTCGGATGCAGGGCGCTGCGCGGCCAACCGAATCGCAAACGCCAATGCATGTGCGCTTTCCAGCGCCGGAATTATACCCTCGAATTTCGCCATCCGGTAGAATGTATTGACGACTTCCTCATCTGAAATCCCTGCAATTGATAAACGACCAGCTTCATGAAGCATCGCAATCTCAGGACCAACGCCAGGGTATGCGAGCCCTGACGCGATTGATGAGACACTGGCAGGTGTACCGTCATCTTTCTGAAGCATGATAGATTGAGCACCATGCAGGGTGCCCGGTTTTCCATATGACAATGTTGCTGCGTGCTGACCGAGCTTATCAGACGTACCCATAGGTTCGACCGCATGCAGAATGACCCCGGGCTCATCTATAAAGCCTGTATATATACCCATTGCATTGGAGCCACCAGCAACGCAGGCAACTACATGATCAGGCAGACTTCCATCCGCCATGGAAATGAATTGCTTGCGCGCTTCTCGGCCAACGACACCTTGGAAGTCTCGTACAATCATAGGGAAGGGGTGAGGACCGATGGCCGAGCCAATTGCATAAAGCGCGTGTTTGTGCTGCTCGGCGTACGCATGGAATGCAGAATCGCTAGCATCTTTTAACGCAGACTGGCCAGTCGATACAGACACCACGCGCGCGCCGAGTAGCTGCATCCTCCCAACATTAGAGCTTTGTTTTTTGATATCAACTTCTCCCATGTGAACTTCGCATTCGAGGCCAAAATAGGCGGCTGCAGTTGCCAGAGCGACGCCATGCTGGCCGGCTCCCGTCTCAGCAATTAGTTTCTTCTTGCCCATCCGTTTAGCAAGTAGGGCGAAGCCAACACAGTGGTTGATTTTGTGTGCACCGGTGTGATTCAAATCCTCTCTTTTGACGAAGATTTGAGCTCCTCCGACTTGGGTTGAGATATTTTCAAGGTGGTGTATTGGCGTCGGGCGCCCTTGAAGTCCGACCCGCACTTTATCCAAGGTGGCCTGGAATTCCGGCGATTTATGGAGCTCTTTATGGCTGTTGGCCAACTCTTGCAGTGCAGATCGAAGTTCTGGTGGATAGTAGTTGCCGCCAAACCGACCGTAGTATCCCTCAGCGTCGGGATTGCTCAGGAAATGCGAATTGATGTTTTCCGACATTGTCCTGCCCTCGAGAATGTGGGAATGGGGAAATGGTGACAATCGGATGACGGATGACGAATGATGGGATTTGAGGTTACAAATCGCGCTCGTGTCGCGCTTGTGGGGTATCGGATTGACGGTCTGCACTTTTTCTCAGCTTTAAGGCGTTAGTGAGGAAATGCGACAAGTAGATAAAGCAGGGATTGTGGGCTAGAGGTGGTAATTATAAGTTGGGAACGGATGTTCTGACAAGTCTGGTCAGAAGTAGTTTCAAGCGCCCGGGCTATTAGGGGGAATAGGATCCTTTATCTTTTGAAAGCAAAGAGAGAATCCTTCGAGCATCTGTCGGTACCTCATTGCCAGTTGTAACTTGTACGAAGTAACTCGTTCGAATGTAGTTAAATCTTGATGAACCGACCCGGTGCACTTTCCGACCCGCCAACCCCGACCCGCTCAGCCTGTCATCTTGGTCAGTCCGATGTCAGTCAAAGGGCGTCCAATCTCAGTGAATATCAAGGCTATCTTGGTCTGCCGGTGCCATTTTATGATTATGGGGAGCCCAGAGCCCCCCTTAGTTAAACATCATTCATACATAGTGTGGAATAAATACGAGTACAGGTAGTACTAAATTGAATATCCCCAATGGCTGTACCATCACGTTCTTACTATTATACACGAGAGTCGATTTTCAATATTTGAAAATTTATCTCTTGACTGTGCCAGTGGATCTTAATTTTCTTGCCTTGGCTTCAGAGACCGAAGATCATCAAAATCTACTAGTAAGCTAGCAGTACAGGTATATTTGGAAGCTCCATTCAGGCTGAATTGGGAGCTTCGGGTCCTGCGTCACCGATGAATACTAATTGTGTCTCGGACCTCCTCATGCGCACTCTGCAATACTAGTACACTAGGCCTCGGAGTGCTCGGAGAGTCTAATGCAGCTGCTCCACCCCGGAAGAGGCTCGTCCCGACAATTTTCCTTAAGGAGATAGTAGCTAACATTTTGCTGCATGATAAACAGGGGCTTGGATCTTCCGAATTTATCCTTCTGGCTTTGGATAGGTTCAGCTACTCTAGGATTCTAGGTAATTTGTGCCAGAATCCAGGTCTACCCACCCACTAGCCAATCAGATCTAGTACTAGTTAGTAGAGAAGAAATTTGAAGAGCTCGACGTACGTCAGGTATACCTGTAATTTGCATCAAACTAACTAACACTTATACTCTTCATAAACGAGAGCAACCCTCGCAATTCATACGATCGAGGCTGCCCAGGTGGTCACGGTGTTATGAATACCAATTAAGCCTCCCTGCCTAATAGGAGATCTTGAATACCCAAGCAAACCGATCGGCTGCGACAATCTCCTTGGTTGGGAAAAGGGTTACCGATCCATTGCTAGACTTACTTGTTGGCACAACTTCACCATCCATTTTCCCACCCAGTACAGTCACCTTGTCACCATTGACCCATGGAATGGGACTATTCAAGATCAAAGTGCTGTTCGGCTTGGCGAGCGCATGAATGTAGAAAGCATCCTTCGAGATGGTGAACCTGACATTATCACCCTCCTCGGGAGTGACAAACCAATATGTTGTGTTGAAGATAGCCTCAGCATGATCCTTGATCCAAACACCAGCCTCGCGAAGGTTTCTTTGCTCAACATCGATAATTGTCCCATTCGCAGTTGGGCCCACATCTAGAAGGAAATTCCCGTTCTTGCTCACAATATCAATCAGGCCCGTGACAATACTGCTAGCGTTCATATAGCTAGCCAAGGGTGTTGCGCGGTTATAGCCATAGCTGTACGGGTCCATACCCAGGCTGCTCTCCCATTTGCGAACCTGGACCCCACCATACCGGGCATATTCAGGGGTGTCAAAATCTCCCGGTAGGCCACATCGTGCGTTCATCACAACCTGCCGATTCTCTTCTGCTGCCTGGTTGAACCACTGTGATGCAAACTCAACAGTGCGATTAGGTCCACCGATATCACACCACATGATTTCAGTGCCCATATCAGCCAGAGTATTCATTTCAGGCAGTATTTTATCCTCAATATAATCGTTAAGTGGCACGTATCCAGTGTACGGAAGTGTTTCGTTCGTGAAAGGATTGGTAGCATTTCCTAAAAATGGTTAGGGCAACGTTCAACTCTCTTTGCTCGATAACAAGTCAATTGTACACACCTCCAGGCCATGAAGAGAACCCATATTTTCTGTAGTCGGGATGGAACCATTCGGGTAGAGAGTAGTATACCGCACGATGCAAGTGGGGTTGGTACTTTTTCGAAGCGTCAAAAAGTTCCTATACAGAGATATTAGAAACAGCCCATGTCTTGTTGTCTTAATGCTCATCATACCTGTACTAAGTTCCGGTGTGGGGTCATGGCCACAGATGTTCTCTTGGTGACGTTCTCAGGAAGATCGAAAAGAGCGTATCCTTCATGGTGTTTGCTGACTTGAACGAAGTAGTTTGCACCGGAATCGGCGAAAAGATCAACCCATTCCTTAGGATCCCACGCGTCCGCCGTGAAATTCTGAATGAAATCATCGTATGCAAGTTCTGTTCCGTAAGTCTTCTTTTGATAGTCGTAGACATCAGTCTTATCACTAGGACCTTTGCCGAGCCACCACCAATACCTAAAAGATGTTAGCCGTTGCTTCTCCTAGTAGCGATTTTCCCTCTGCTCACCACTCAGCGTAGTTCTCCTTCGATCCCGAATTGCCCCAACCGGGCACTGAATAAATCCCCCAGTGGATGAAGATCCCATACTTGGCATTGTTATACCAGCTCGGGGCTTCATGGCTGTAGATGGACTCGTAGGTAGCCTTGTACAGGGCAATACCGTAGGACGCTTTGAAAGCATACTTTCTGCTTGCCACTCCTTCGCCTTCGATGACCACAGTGGCTGGGCCAGATTCTCCTGATTTCACTCCGTTGCGATTTCTAACACCGATCTCCACTATAGCCTGATCACCGGGCCCAAGGCGATTGATCACTCCATTGGTGACCGTTTCCAGGCCCGGCGACTCAACCCGGACTCTAACAGTGTTATTTCGCAAGATGAACGAGGACCCAACATTATTCACCAGAACCTCGATGATTTGGACTTTGTCAGTGCCTTCCATCCATTTCTGCGTAGAACGAGCATACTGAGTCTCAAGCCTTGGTGTTCTTGAAACGCCTTTTGAGGCGGGTAGGAGCGACAAGGCAAAAACGTGCAGTTTTGTGTCAACTTCGGCGCCTCCAGGTTCGGTTGAAGACCCAGATGAGGACTCGGGGAACTTTAGTGAAACAAGCTCTTTGGACGAATCAAGCCAATTTATGGTTTGGAAAATATTGGTTCGGTTGAAATTCGTGCTGTTTTCCGTGAGATAAGAAGAAAAGATTAGGTCTCCTCCAGCGGGATACGGCCAGCTCCACCATGCAGGGACGAGTAACGGGCCAGTCGTATTGCTACCATCGGCATACTTAGCTGTGACCGACCCTGCTGCCATTCCAGACTCTGATGCAGCAAGCATCTGGTAGCTGAAATATTTCGCACGAGGAACTTCAACCTCTTGTCCCTTGACCAAAACATTGTCGTAGCCAGATGCATTGTATGGAGAGAATCGATAATTAACTCCTCCATAAGCGAACCTCTCTGGCGGAATCTCTTTGGCTGGATATGAGTCTAAAGGAAGATAAACATTAGAATTCGGTGTCAATTCCCACAGCTAAGCAAGGAATTTGCATACTTCCTTGGCCATCAAAGCTCGAATCGTTAGGCCTCAGGCCAAATGCACGGTTATTGACAAATGGGCGTAGATCCAACGCAATGGAATGATTGGGTCCAGATATAGCTTCAAAGTCATTTTGTGGCTTAAAAATTACTGCCTGACAAGCAGTCGCACTCGCCAGAATAGCGGTTGCGATACACCCGGCATTCAACATGATGGCACTACTAGTAGTAGTTCATGGATAGTGAGAGCAACAGAACTCGGTTCTTTGCCGATGATATATGGTCTATTTTGCTATTCCTCGGCAGTAACAGTACCATTTCCCCGCATTCCTGCCAATACCCCTACGTACTATAGCCATTTACCTTTTTTTTATCGGGTAATTACTATCGGAAAATTACGAAGTATGTCTGATCGGGTGAAACCAATGCGATCGGCGTGCGGAGGTGGCGGCCTTTTCGCCGAAGCTATCCCGGCACCATACCATATGTCACCATGATCATCGTGGGAAGTGTTAGAGCAGTTGAGTCCCTGTGGTTGTCTAATACGGGCTTCTATTAGCCAGATTATATAGGCTAAATTCAGCCTTGGAATCTTAGAAGCTATATACTCTGTGCGAAACCTTCTTATTCCACTTGTTCCACGAATGCCTTCTCCTGGTCGTCGCCGAGAATCCCTGCCTGCTCGTTCATTTTCTCAGTAAAGTGTTTCTCTGCTCTCCAGGCAAGACAGCTAGGCCCTGAGAAAAGCACATCAAGCTGCTCGAGAGGGCGATTTGCAGTTTCTGTTATGTTGTTAGCAGTATATCCTCAGTGGCTTTGGTTGGGATAATGCAACTAACCAGCGTAGAAGAGGTAGATCGGTGCTAATAAAGCCAGGTTAATCAGCGCGAATAGAATAAACACCCAGAACCCAATCGCTTCAATCAGATAGGGAATGATCATGTTGATGGTTCCTCCGGCAATGGAGAAAGAAAAGGTAGCCAGAGCAGCACCCTTACTTCGGCTTGCGAGGGGGAAAACTTCTGTGGGATATACCCAGCTTCGATAAAGGTTAGTTTGAGAACCCTGGAAACTTAATATAGCACCAAGTACTCACCAAGTCGTGAGCCAGGTACTACCGTAAATAAAAGTATAAATGTATAGAACAGCTGCTACTCCTGAGCCATACTTGTTGGCTAAGATCGAGTCGGTCTCCGAATGAGAGATTGTCTCATGAGAAAGAACACCCCCAACAATAAGGACAATTCCCATAAGCGTACATCCCGTCAGCATCAACTTTCTTCGTCCAACACGATCACAGAGATAAATAGATAGTGCAAGACTCGCGATGTATCCAAACCAATTTCCACCTGCCAGAAGAGCAGGTTTATCTCCTTTGAATCCAGACAATGCGAACATGTTAGGAGCGTATACCGCAATGAAGTCAATACCTGTTAGCTTTTGCATTACCTGTACACCAGAGCCAATAAGGACTCGACGACGGGTGTGGAGCTTATCCTTGGTGAACAGCATGCTGTAGAAGCTATGTGAGGTCGAGGTAGCCTCGGCACGAATGGCCGACACAATTTCCTCCATCTCGGTATCAATGGCATTTTCATTATTGTCGACACGGCATTTCTCCAACACCGAGCGAGCCCCTTCGAGATCCCCAATCTTGGCCAAGTGACGAGGTGATTCAGGGTAGAATGGGGCCGCGGCTAGAATGAACAGTAAAAAGACGATCTGAAATCCGAGTGGGAATCGCCAGGTAAAAGAGAGGGATTGTGTCTTCAGACACCCGAATTCCATCCAATAGGCACTGATAGCACGGGTTCGTTAGCAGCGAAACCTCTGAGGAGACAGGGCCAAGAAACACTCACGTTGTGGATCCTACCATTGCCAATGTGAATTGAACAGCGACAAACGCGCCTCGTAAATGGGGGTCCGCCAACTCTGACGTCCAGACAGGGACCATCGTATTCAAATGACCACATCCAATTCCACTGATGACTCGGGCAAAAGCAAACCAGGTGATATTGGTAGCCGAAGCTAACAAAGCAGCCCCGAGGATTCCCCAAAGACATCCCAGCTGGATTGTTTTGAGGCGTCCAATCGAGTCAGCGACGTATCCAACAAGCAATGCGCCAATGGCAAATCCTCCAAACCAAAGACTGACGAGTCCACCAATGGCCGCGGCGTCCCTGTCGCTGCCACTGGCAACCCCCATCCGCTGCATGTAATCTGCATTGTTGTTTACTTGGCTCATTACTGCGGTGTCATAGCCAAAGAATAGAATTGCGCATCCAGCGAAGAGAAAGATGGCGTATGTCATCGACTTGCCCTGTAGTCTCATACATCTGGACGGTGAGAATCCTCCAGGGATATAGCGAGCCAAGTCAGACTCCGCTGGATAATTAATTAGCAAATACTCTCAAGTTAAGAGACCAGCATCAGTTTGATCAACTCACGGCGGAAAATAGATTGCTCAGGGATCCCCCCATCGAGGGTATTCACATTTTGTTTCTCCATTGTGATATGCCAAGGAGCCAAGAAAAGAGGCTGGTGAGCTTAACAAAAATGCTATTTAAATGAGGACACTATCCTGTTCGACTTCTTCTCCACCTCCTGAACTCTGATCGGACTTGCTCCAAGGTGATCTCGATGCCCCCAGATTCTGACTTTCCCCAGGGTTCCACAGGTTCCACTTCTCCGCTCTCACTCGGTCGATAGAACACCGAGAGTAACATCGAGGGCTGAGGTATTTCGAGCCAGTGAGGAATTGTCGGGATGAACAGAATTGAAATACAGAATGTGGATCCAGAAGCACCCTTGAAGAACAAAGTGTTTAGCGAGTAATTAGTATGCTCTGTTTGACCGACCTTCCTCAAGGATAGCAGACGGCGAGATGTGAACCTATCGGCATCAGGTACAAGAACAAGGAGCGGATAAGTATCGAAAGTCTTCGGTCGAAATAGAATATTCATAAGATGGATGCTATTTTGAGACGATGATTGATATGATACACTAAAATACAACCGCTATGCATGCAGAATTTCATTTGAATTCGAAATTATGTTCCGAGCTTCTCTTTGTTTGTTTTGTTTCATTTCCTACCTTTGACTTCCTGCTCCAGCTTTTCGAGGGCCTTGGGATACTTCTCCTGGAGTGACTTGAGGTCATTTGTCTTCACCTGGACGCGATCGATGGGCGAGTTACGTGTGATGCGACCGTCCACGCTGGCTGCGATCTCGTTTGCGAACCATCGTCCTTCGCGGTGAGCCACCAAAGACCATGCAGAACCTTCTTTTCCAGCACGGGCGGTACGGCCGACACGGTGCACATAGGTTGTGATGCTGCTGGGAACATCATAATTGATAACGTGAGACAGTGATTGCAGATCTAAACCACGAGAGGCCCGGTCGGTAGCCACAATGACGGAGATTTTGCCCTTGCGGTAAGCTGCCAAGGTCTTGCGTGAGGCTGACGATTTGTCAGATTTGATGATGGTTCCCACGCGGCTGGCAAGTTGCGGGTGGAGCAGGGAGATGAGGCGGGAAAGTCGCGACGCAGACTCGGAAGATTTGGTGAAGATGAGCACAGTGTTGGGTCGGGCGCCAGTCTTAGATAAAGTTTTGGGCTTAGATTCGGATTCGGACTCGGACTCGGAATCAGAAGAGTCATCCGATGAAGTGTCGCTCGAAGCATCGCTGGAAGTGTCACTTGCAGAATCAGAGTCAGACTCGGAATCTGAACCTGAGGATGATGTATCATCATCTGAAGATTCATCCGAGCTGGTCTCGTCGTCACTGGAGGTATCATCCGAGCTGGTGCTATCGGAGTCAACAGCCTTGGAGGCGAGACTAGACTTTCTATCAACTTCAACGCCGATGTGTGATAGTAGCAGACGCAGGAGGTAGAGCGGCTTGAGAGATTCATCGCCCACGGCAACCATACGTTCTCGCAGAGTGGACGGCAGTGTGAAGTGGGCATCGGAGTGCGTAGCGGAAGGATCTTCGGGGTTCATGGCATTCTCAGCACCAATAATAACCATCTTAGGGTCGTCAAGGCGTAGAGAGTTGAGTTTGGTGATATCGCGGGTCATGGTAGCGCTAAGAATAACCTTTCTCGGGGGTTTTGTCTCAATCGGCAGACCAAGCTGCGACAAGAGTTTTCCGCCCGCGCCGAAGGTTTCCGGTGCATGTCGCGCATCCAAGGAACCCATCACCACATCTACCCACTCCTGGAAACTTTCGTTGAGTAGCCGATCAGCCTCATCGATCACCAGCCATTCAAGATGTTTGAGAGTGAATCCCTTGGTGTAGCGAAGATGATCCACCAAACGACCGGGGGTACAAATGAGAATGTCGACGTTGGGCTCATATCTCTGGATATATCCCGGAAGGAAACCTGTCGAATCAACAGCCTCAGTAACACAGTCTTCAAGGCTAAAGTCCATCCAGTCATTATCTTGCAAGCCTGGCGCCTGCCTTTGGGCAACAGTCGCGGGGTTGTAGACTTGATCGGTTCTCATGATAAGCTTCTGCTCATCTTTAATGGCCACATTTCCTACGGCACTGCCAATGTGAAGACGCGATCCAGAGGCGCAGAGTTCACAAGCCTCGCGAGCCTGTTTGACTAGCTCTCGGGTAGGGACGACAATTAAGCCTCGAAGCCTTGATGCAGGTCTCGGATTCAAGGATGTCACGAGCGGAAGCACGTAGGAAAGGGTCTTTCCGGATCCCGTGGCAGCTGAGATACACAAATCGCCAGGGTGGTTGTTATCGCCGTCCAATAGGAGAGGGATGACGGTGGATTGAACTGCGAAGGCCTCTTTGTAATTGTTCTGGTCGAGAATGCGAAGAAGATCTGGCTTGATTCCGAGGTCTGCGAACTTGGCCCGTTCATCGGTCGATGTTCGTAGGGGGTTCGCCAACCAAGGAGGAAGGGAAGAGTAGGTAGGAGCCTCTTCGAGCTCCGGTGGGTTCTCGGGTTGTGGCAGCGGCTCAAGGCCCTTTGCGATGACTGGCTCAACGACATTCTCTTCGATTTCTTCGACCTCGGGCTTCGACTTCTTTGCCTTTTTGCTGGACACGGTTTTCGTACGTTCAAACTTGGAGAGGATGCCCGCGTGTTTGTTCTTGGAGGGCTTGCGCTCTGCCTCGTTGTCACTGGATTCTTCCGAGTCCTCGTCTTCCTTGGGTGTTGATTTCGTAGTTTTAGGTTCATCATCAGCCCGATCGTCCTTCCGAGAGCTCTTGCGTTTGCCATCTTTCAACTTCTTGCTTGGTTTGGTGACAGCATCTTCGGAGTCTGCATCTGCAGATGTCTCTTTGGTATGTTTCGATGAGGCAAGTCTCTCTTTCCGAGGCGAGTTCTCATGGTCATCGCCCTGAAGAGAATCCTTGAGCAGCTTTCGCTTCTGCTTCTCAGTGCCTCCGGCGGATAGACTGTCGCGCTTCTTCTCTTTCTTATGCTTCTTGGTCGGGGTAGAGGTGGAGACGGAGGTGGAAGCAGTGGGATCTTCACGTTTGCGCTTATGGGAGGAATTGTCTGTGGGCGACATCTTGGGGGCAGTCACCTTGGATCCGGCCATTTTCTCTCACAGGCGCATTCATCTAAGAAAGAAAGAAAGCTGCGGTGGGGAAAGTTTTTGGGACTCGGTTTTTTGTGCCGGTGTTAATTGACCGCCCACCACTCAATCTGGCTCACCGCCCGGTGGTATCGCGCCGCGGCAGCAGTGGGCAAGTCGAAGCAGGCGCGATTGGGGGAGGAACATTCAAAGTTGGGAAGGAGCAACCATCTCCTTTGCACAATGGAGTGTCAAGTCACCTGCTCAGTCACCTGTTCAGTCACCTGCTCAATTACCTGATCCTGTCGATTCAGGCTCCCCCAGTCTCCTTGCCTTTCGCATCGCTTCGTCCACTCCAACAGGAGAACCACCGCAACCATGCCGTACAACATTGCGTGAGTTATCTAATCTGTCGGTGATCCTACTAGTTGCCTGTCACTAATTAATCTTGAATTAGTATGGTCAGTGACTTCTTCTTCCCCCAGTCCGGTATGTATATGTTCTGAAAGATCAACAAGACTCCCAATGGCTTGCGGCCAATTGCTAACTTCAACTTACCAGGGGAATCGAAAGTCACATCTACCAGCTATCTTCCGTAAGCGCACCACTTTTACCACTTTTACCTCGTGCAACTCCTACTCGCCTAGCTCCATGAATCCTGACCGAAGCACAACCACCTTCAGAAACTCATCGATCGTGGACACAAAGTGATCATCATCACCCATGCATACAAAGGCCGAACCGGTGTCCGCTACCTCACCAATGGACTGAAGATATATCACGTCCCATTCTTCGTTATCTACCGAGAAACAACATTCCCCACAGTCTTTTCCTTCTTTCCTATATTTCGCAACATTGTCATTCGTGAGCAGATCGACATCGTACACGGCCATGCAAGTCTTAGTAGCTTCTGCGGCGAAGCCATTCTCCATGCACGAACAATGGGCTTACGGACAGTCTTTACGGATCATTCGCTCTTTGGTTTTGCAGATGCGGCTTCTATCCTGACGAATAAATTACTCAAGTTTACACTGAGTGACGTGGACCATGCTATCTGCGTCAGCCATACCTGGTACGCAGTATTCTTCCCCCTCCCCAAGTTTGACCTCCCGCAACTGACAACCACATAGCAAAGAAAATACCGTTCTTCGTGCCTCATTAGACCCACTCATGGTCTCCGTGATACCCAACGCCGTCGTTGCAGAGAACTTCTGCCCGCTGTCATATTACCCCGGTACTCATGATCAAATACCTATATCACCCGCCGACCCTCGACCATCACCGGCCCCGATTGGTCCCAACGATACAATAACCATCGTTGTGATTTCCCGCTTATTCTATAACAAAGGAACCGATCTTCTCATCGCCGCTATCCCACGAATCCTTGCCTCCAATCCAAATACGCGATTTATCATTGCTGGATCTGGTCCAAAAGCAATCGACCTAGAACAGATGCTAGAACGCAACGTCCTTCAAGATAAGGTTGAGATGCTCGGGTCTGTTCGCCATGAAGAGGTGCGAGACGTCATGGTTCGAGGGCACATCTACCTGCATCCCAGTTTGACCGAAGCATTTGGCACCGTCATTGTTGAAGCTGCCAGTTGCGGGTTATACGTGGTTTGCACACGAGTCGGCGGTATACCTGAGGTTCTTCCTCAACACATGACTACGTTCGCCAAACCCGAGGAGGATGATCTGGTTGTTGCAACCAGTAAAGCAATTGCTGCCCTCCGCTCCAACAAAGTTCGTACCGACCGATTTCACGACCAAGTAAAGATGATGTACTCTTGGCGGGATGTCGCCGAGCGGACCGAACGTGTTTACCAAGGTATCATTGGTGATATCAGTCCGTCTGAGTTCTACGGCTCCTATCCGGACCAAGGTTGGGATGTTAGTGGTGATCGGGTCCGCAGTTTCGCACTCATCGATCGCTTGAAGCGGTACTATGGATGCGGAGTGT